TGAGACCATTTTGCATGAAATGAAGATTCGAAAAGAAATACCGTATTATTAAAAGTAATTTGGTAAAATGTGCTTTAAATAGTTTTAAAAACACGCTTTTACGCTTTACCTTGCATTAAGTTGCCCAATTTATGTTTTTCCTCTTATCTGCCTTTCATTTGTAATCTCTCCAATTATTCTATTTCTTAAGGACTTACCACAAAGTTCCAGCAGCTCGCTAAATGATCAAGTGCCCAAACATTGCGCATACGTACGTATACGTAATGTAATCACAAACATTGCTACACACATACACACACACACAAAGGCGCACCCAGGAGCATCAACAAAAATCCAACAATGGCAACAAAACCACAGAGAAATCAGTGAATTATACAACATTTAAGCAAACACAGAATGCCAACGCTCGTTCGTTCGTTCGTTCGAGGATGCATAGAAATCCAGCAGAATTAAGTTAAGGCGCTTCCGACATCCCAGCGCTGCCACTTTTCCGCCTTCCACTTTCCGCCCCCAGGAAAACACAATGGTGCGACTGCGAGGAGCCCAAGTTGGCCAGAAACTTTACACACTGCCAACTGAACGGGTTGAGGGATAGTGGCTGAAAGAAACCATCGCAGCAGAAGTGAAATAAAGTTGAATGTAAGCAAACAAGTTGAACCAACAAACCAAGTCTCTAATTGTATTTGTGTGTGCGAGTGTGCGTGTGCGAGTGTGTGTGTGTAGGCGGAGTGGCCCGGGGGCGTGGCAGTGTGTTTTATGCGGCAAACCGGAACGCACCACTTTGGTGGGTACAAAATATGAAGAAGCCAAGTCAGCGGGAGAGCTGTAAGGAGAAAGTCCGAACTCAACAAGACGTGAAATGCAACTTTTTCGGCACAACGATCGAGCACAATAGCCTGGCCAGAACCCATCTAACAACACCCAATCTTGCAGCTAACAAAAAGCCCGGCAAATGTACAAAAGCCAAACAAGAATGGCAAACGGAGCCCCAGAGCCACAGAGCCAACGAATTTCCCATATCCTCGCCCTTGGAGGACACTCCATATGTGGCGGAGTTTTGTGGCACGTTGAGAAAAGGCACTCCAGGATCTCAGCCTAAGCCTGCTCCACGGAATCCGCATACCGTCCTTCAAAGCACAAAACTCATGAAAACTGCGATAGTGGAATGTGTCTCTAAAATACCTCTTTTAAGAGTTAAGTTGGCGACAGTGGTATTTCTTAGATTAGAAAACAAAATTTGTTGGTTTCAGATTTTCCACCGAAAATATTATTTCAGCTTTCAACAAACGAATAAAAACAATTATTTTCCCTACCACAGACATTTTTTACACTTCTATTGTTAACTATTAAGCTATTTTGTAATATGTAACATACTACTGAGTTTCAAATTGATAATATTTTGTATTACTTATTTTTGGTTTCCAAAATGACTAAAATACAATTTAATTACGATTATAATAGATTGCAATTTACTAAAAAAATTATTATAAATTGTATAAATGTTCAAAATTTAAAAAAAAAAATATCCCCGAATAGTGAAAATAGTCATAATAGTCATGACCTTTCAGTTGGCACTCTGCAGAGACAATATACCTTTGAAATGTGCCAGGAAGCAGTACTACAAGCCGGAAATATGGCAACGAAAAGGGCACAATCGAAGTGTAAGAAACGAGTAAAGAGGGAAATGGGAGCACAAAATGGAGAAAGGAGCTGCGACATGAGTACATTTGTTTATGCGGAACCCGAAAAGATGGAGCGGCATCCTCCTCCCGCAGGACTCCTTCGGCAGGCAAGCGTTGAAATGGAACAAATGAACTAAGTCGAGAATTGCCAACTGCACACTTTGCTCGCACGGGCAAATAAAATGCCACAAAAGGAGCAGCCAGCAGCCAGAAGCCAGCAGCCACAACAGCAGCCCTGACGAGAGTTACCCTCCAGAAGCAGCAGCGCAGGCAAATGATTTCACAAGAAAAGTTTAACTTGTAAATTCAAATTTCACATTTGTCTGGAATTCGCAATTACACTTTGGCAACAACAATGAAATATGTCCGCTTGCCATCGCTACACCTGCCCAAAAATCGGGTGGATTTGGGTTTGAGTTGGGAATATGGTGGTATAGTATATCTGCCCCTTTAATCCCCCTTCATGGCTCATTGTTCGGCCTGGCAAATGGAGCATGGAGTGAAATGGAGTGGGGAACGGGAAGGCAACGGTGTTCCCCAGCAAACTGTCGAAATTGTTGCCTCCTAAAGCATATTGTAATAATCCAAATGAAATTAAATGTACCGTAAACATTTCGAATTACGAGAGCTACGGCAACTTCAAGCTTCTGGAATGACACAACAACAACAGAATTGAACTAACATACTGGAATATACAGACTACAAGAACACTCAGTACTAAGTTAAATATGGGTGAGATGCGATCCAGTTCTTTAGATGGAAAAAACAAACATTTGTAAGTTATTGAAAACATAAAGATATACATATAAAATTAACTGCCTTAAGAATTCGCTTCTTCGAAATTGATACATATTAACTAACAAGTATTTATTTTTTTAAAGCATTAAATTCAATGTTTTTAGAATTTAATGATTTAAAAAAGATACGACATTTTTTTATTGAAAAACATTAAATAAATTTATCTTTTAAATGTATGTCAGATGTCCAACATTTAAAAGAAAAATTAATTTAATGCTGTTAAATGAAGAAAGTTCAAAAATGTTATGAGATCAATTAGAGCCTATTTTTCCCGAAATAATGCCTTTGAAATTTTATTGTCAGAGTGATGCCAACTCCTTGATCGCATAGGTTTACCCTGTAAAAATACGAACATTGGCCTCAGGAGCAGCAGGTGCAAGCGGTGCCCCAAGCGGCGATACAATGAAAATGTCCGTAATTGCAGATGCGAGGCATGGCCAGAATTTGGATTGGGAATAGAATGCACAGATGGGGCAGAGGGGGGATGTTTGGATGTTGAATGCAAATGGTTACATTTTTTGATGAAATTAGAAAAGAATTTCGTGGGAAATAACATATTTAGCTTGGTCTCTCAACAAGAGGCAAGAAAAGCAACAAAATAATGAACCCAATATATTATATGGTAGAATTGTTGGAGTTTGTGAGTAATAAAGTTAAATCACTAAGAAATAAACAAAATACATTTTTTTATTTATACTTATAGTTTAATAAAATAATTTATAGTCCAAATTGAACAGAGAAAAACTCCATAGTAAAATAAAACATTAAAATATTTGAATGTAACATTGTTATTCAAAATATAAACATACTTAAAATAAACTAACAATATTATAATGTACAATAATTATTAATATAGTTAATTTATATCTAATAGGAAAATGGTAGATTTAAATTTTTATTTAATTGTAAACTAAATTTGTCCATACTTAAAATTAAAAATGGAAAAGTAACTCACTTTGATTTAAACATAACACCCCTCGAGACTTAATCATTACCGAAAATATTTATTTCCAAGTGACTATATTTGTACATACCATGGTTTTACTCTGGGTGTCCTTAAAGTTTTTTTTTTGTTAAATTCCCCATTACATTAAGTCTATAAGTCCAACCTATCATCATTACTCTCATAAACATAACGAATTACCACCCACAGCCACGTAAATCACCATAAAAATATTTCAATCGGTCCAAATCAATCTGGATCCCCAAGCAACTCCGCCAACTATTCAATTGGCTCGACTGATGGCAGAGCTCTATTAAATTAGCGAAATAAGGCAACAAAAAACGATCGACTTAAGTAAAAGCCGGCCGACAAAATTGCACATTTTACAAGTTTACGAACCACTAAAGAGATCGAGGCGGCCAAGAGGATCGCCGGCCAGAGTCTTTTTGGCGAATTTATTTCTAAAACAACTCTATCGCGATCACCTGGCGACGCAGTGCGGCCCATAAAGCCAACGATTTATTGCCCAAGTCGGCAACAATTTGACAAGCAAATTGCTATAATTTCTGGACATTGGCAATGGGGGGATAGGATGGGGATTCCCCGCCGCCAAAGAATGCTGTGTGGACATGGGGCCACGACATGAGCAGCGCTTTTTTCGCGCTTTTATCTGAGGAAATTTATGTTTGCGATAAAGCCCCAACGACTACTGGACTGGACTGGAACTTTGGCTCTGGAGAAACCAAAACCAAAATCAAAGCCACAGCCAAAGTCACAGCCAGGAATTACATGGCCCAAGGCTGGCATCTAATTGCAGGCCATTCGGGTGGATCGGCGTCGTCCGTTAAATTGCCATAATTTCGCTGGCTTTACGAGCTGGCAGGGAATCCTCACCGCCCTCCTACTTTTCAGAGCGACCACACATATCAGAATAGTTGAATGCCAAGTTCGCACAAAAGTTTTGGCGATCATTTGGGCTATTAAATCGCAATTAAATGCGTGACGTGTGGTCCGCAGAGGTCATAAATCGCAGGGAAAAGAAAACAGAAATGGCAATCATCATTAAAAATGCAAAGAAGCATAAAATTGGACGAAAATGGTAAGAGGAGCCCAGAAATATAAATGATTTCCGTGGGCATCATCAAAAGCGGCGATAAGGAAATGTTCTCCCTTTCTCCACCTCTCGTTTTCTTTTGGAGTCGTAAAATCGCCTGAGAAAACTCTGCCGACAGTGTCATAAAAATTAAAAGAAAATCACAATTTTGGTTTTGTCTTTCTCGCTTTTGTTTTAATACATTTTTTGTGTTAAAACAAAATACGCTTTTTAAAAAGTTTCCAAGGGCAGCTCGCATTTAATGCAGAGTTTCGGACTAATTGTTGCTCTGTGCGTGCATTTGGGAATTTCGGGTGTCGGGGAATTTGATGGCACTTAGAAAGCCGTTAATCCTAATTTTATGCACCTAGTCTGCTGGCCTGGCCAAGCCAATTTAATGGCTCACTTCCCATGGCTCATAATAATGCTGATTCCTTGTTGATTCATAAATTTACGTTAGGCTGAAACAAAAGAGCCAACAAAAATGGCTGGGACGGTAAGCTTTGGTCAGGACTCACATTGGTAGTCCCCAAGCCAAGCCAGTTGAAATCCTATAAAATCCTTGAGGAGGCTATTAAATGCATTTGTTTTTTTAACTTCACTTATGCTGTTTAAACTTAGAGTAAAAGTGTAAAATGGGTAACAGCGTGAACAACCAGTAAAAAGGAAATTTATTTATTTACTTCAAATTTAATAGTGTGTATAACTTTTTCCTTGTTCTTTTAATTTTACTGTTTGTTTATAAAAAGTAAAAAAATAAAATCATTGGAACAAAATTTGAAACTAACGTTTTGAGTTCTGGCAAACATTTTCCAACACTTATAGCGTCTGCACACAGTCGCTTAAAAGCGTTGCAGCGAAACAGTTAAAGCGACCCATTCACACAGGAATCCGCTGATGTAAAGACAACTGATCGTCCTGCCAGAAGTAAACAAACCTTAAAAGAAGAAGAGATCACACAATTAAATGTTCGAAAAATACCAAAATTTCCAAGTAAAAATCCGCTGAAGCGGAATTCGGTAGCTAAATCAGAAAAGTCGCCTGTCTGAATAGGATTTTACTTGTCAAACCGATAAGATCAGCCATCGATATTTGTCAAGTCATCTACACCCTCAACTATCGATAGCTTAAGATCGCCGCATATTGAGGCGTTATCCAACACTAAAAGACGCTTGATCGGAAGAAAGTTTAGTAGACAAAGTTGTGATCCGTTTAAAATAAGTAATTTTAACCATGTCAAAGGGAACTGCAATAAACAAAAACCACAAATTACACATTATTTCCGTGAGCTACAGAAGTGTATAATTAGGACACATAATTAATTGGATCTTCTTGACCAGCTGGACATAAACGATTGCTTGGGTTGCGACAAGTTACATGTGGAATTCTCGAGGGCCGACAATGTGCACGTAATCATCTATGATTTGGACACAGATCTACCCAACGATCTGTCGGCAGTAACACCCGTGGCCCAGGCCATTCTGCTGCTCAGTAGCCTGACTTATCCGGATGGCGAGAGTGTGTCGAAGGTTCCCCAGCTGCAAGTCGGAAGAGGAAGCGTCTCCATGACCTTCGAGATGGCCCCATCGGAACAGGTCGACGATGTGCAAAGCGACCTGGACGAGACGCCCTGCACCTCGAGACAGGCTGAGCGGCGACTTACGGCGCGGATGCAGCGCAAGAGAGAGGCCTCCCTGAGGCTCCTCCAACAGCAAACGATCCAGGTGACCGTCGAGCGTCGCTTCGATGTCCTCACTTTGCTCGGCTCGGTCTCCTACAGGATCAACGGGGACCAACCACAAATCCTCACCGTCCCCGAGTTCCACGCAATGTTCTTTGTCCGTCCCCAGTACTCGCATAACTTTTTGTGGGATCTCCACCAGAAATGCGCTGGCAATTGGCTGAAGGTTATCCTAAGCGATGACGATGGCGATGCCTTTAGCAGCTACAAGTAGGTTCACCTATTCCCAATCCATACTATTAATATAGACTTTTCAAACAACACCAAATACTTGTCAACTTTGCTTTTAAGTTACCACGCCATCATACTTTTCATAAATTCCACCATAAATTTGCAACGACTCTTAAAGTATTTATATAAATATATATATTCTTAATCAGCATCTCTAGGCGGATCGCCCGTCTGTATCCTATGTATTCCCTTAGTTATTAAGCTTTTCCATTCCATTACAAGTAGTACAAGGGTATCTAATAGATGCCATAGAACAATCGAAAATATATTTTAAGAAAAAATAAGTAGGTAGTATTTTTTTTTACAATTTAGGAAATACGGTTATAAAATTATAAAATTCGTAGTACCATTATACATCTACCAAATTTGAAAATTAATAAGAAAACCAACAACAATGAATTTTTTCTAATTATAGAAATTTGTACGATTTGAAACTTATAAAACCGATTACTTTTGTAACAGAACGCAGGACCGCACAATTAATTGGAAAATCGTGAATAAACATATTCGAATAAAAACTGTTAAATATAGTCGTCTTATAAAATTGTTCAAGAGCATATAAATTTCCTAATTTGAAAAATCCGAGCTAGAACCATAATTTGGTTCGGATGAGCCAATAGATTTTTGGATTTATTTATCGAAAGCCAGGAAAACGTTCTGCACAATGTAGCGAAGAAAATCAATATCAGATTTGATACGTAAACAACTTTTATATGTATCTAGTAACTTTTAATTTTTGCTTTCAGAGACCCCGAAAACCCATTTAAGACTTTCGCAAAACTTTTTTACCGCCGGGCAATGGAACCACAGGATTTTTTCAGCAAATTGGCCAAAACCTGTGTGCACGTCAATGAGGCAGTGCGACTGTCGGAGCGGAAGTTTGTGCTTCAGGTTTTTGACCAAGTGTGTCGTATATTCGAGTACATTACATTTTACGAGTACACCGTTTGGTTTTTGGTTCCACGCCTCAATAATATCGAGCAACTACGGCCTTCGGTGAGCATATATTGTCTGAGGCCTACAAAAATCGTCGACAGTCACTAAACTTTGTAGTATTTGTATAGACGCTCGAAGACTTCGATTTGACCAAAGTGCGAACATCCATTCGCGCCACAGGCGATACTAGCAACATTTACTGGGACCACACCGATCACAATATTAAGGACATTCTAATGGTGGCATTTCAATTGGCCCTGGCCACCAACGTCAATCAGTCGGTTCTGGTCATCAGTCATTTGGAAACGGTTAGTAAAGGATGACACTAAAACTAGATAAACTATTTATTAATTAATTAGAAGTAGTTACCATAAATATTAACAGTCATTTCCTTGTTTAATTAAATAGCTATCCCAGTTTATAACAATGCAATATGTGACTGCCAGCTTTATGAACGACTTGCATGTCAAGAAAGACTCTGATCCGGTGAGTTATTTAAACTATGAAGTATAACTGAGTATTTATTTATGCTCCCTTTTTAGAAATGGTTTTGCCATCGCTATTTGCAGCGCATTGTCGAAAAGGCTTTGTTTATGGGCACAATCGTCATCATTGAGTACCCCAGTTCGTTTACACAATTGGAAGAAGGTCGTCAGTTGATCAAGTGCTTTCCAAAAAATAGGAAGGGATCATCGAGAGCACTGCAATGGGAAATATTCGAGGATGTTGTCAGGGACAATGAGTCCAGCTTACAGTTTCTCAAGGAGGCTACAAACCACCTGACCATGTAGCTTGCAAAAGGATTCATTAGGTGAGTCACATGAACCCACAAACATGGCACATTCAACTTATTCGCGTGCAATTTCAGCTTCGCCTCGAACAAAATTCATTTATCTGCCGTCTGCGGCTTTCACACGCAAATATTTCCATTTTCATTTTCTAATTACGCCTGAGCTGACGGGCCAGCTGAACGCCGCCTGAAAACTCATTGCTCAGCTCTATTTCAATTAGGGTTTTGCCGGCTGTCAGTTTGAGTGCCACTGGTGGCGCAGTCGAGGGTCCTTGCACCACCAACTGCACCGCCGCGAAACCAAAAACAGCAACTACAACTACAATGCCTGTCAGACGAGAGGCACACGTCATTTTCCGGCAAACTGCGTTTTGCGCTTACCAAGACCATTTTTAGCTTAAATCTCCTCCCGGTGGCCCAGTTGGAAAGCTAGGCGCCCGGAGATGCATCCTGATGGAATGCTGACTGACTGACTGGCTGGCTGGCTGATGGACTTGAATGATTGGTGGTTGCCGGAGCAATTCTTTGGGCGGTGATGCAGGGAAATCATCCTTTTAAAAAAAAGAAAAAGAGGTCAGAGATCTAATTTTAAATGTTTTTTAGCCCTTGATTATGTTTAAACGAATGAGAGAGGTGAAGTTTTCGTTAAGCTTAAAATTGTAATTTCGTCGAATCAAAAATATTTGTTTTTAAATATTTTTAGATGTAATTATTGTCGGGTAGATAATTATACCTTTTAACTTTAAGGATTATTTTATGAAAATTGGGTTTTTAAGCAAATATTGCTGTCTGCAATATATCCTTTTAATGAGTTAATATGATTTTATTATTAATATTATATAACTTGTATAATTTATAATTGTGCATAATTCGATTGAGTTGTAGATTATTCGTGCTTATTCCATTACCAATTTTTAAAACTGAGTGTATTCAACCATGTTAATAATCATGTTTTTACAACTTGTCAAACAATATCCAAACAACAATTAATTGTAAATCGATTAAGTTTAAGTATATTTATATTAAAAATGTTGAGTGTATCAACCTAACTATAATAATATATGTTCAAACAAAAGCCATTTAATAGACTTTCTATCTTTACACTTCGTCATGGCTGTTGTATAGAAATTAGTTACGACAAAGCTGGAGGCTATTTTTGTAATATGCAAATGCAATTTTCAATTTATTAGCGAAATGGTGGCCGCAGGGTCAGAGCATCGAGGCAGCTGTTCGTCTGCGCAGGTCATAAATAAGCAACGAAAAATGCATTAGACAGGTTTCTGGCTGAAATGCGATGCGTGCCACATTTCGCACCTCATCCACGAGCTGGAGGAGATCGCATGCCGGCACTCAGCCAAATGACAGGCAGCTGTGCCCCCTACAACCCCTTCTAATAAACTACTCCCCTCGATCCATAAAACACACACACACACACACACACCGAATTAATTGCGCAAGGAAACAAATGCCGCATTTTCCAGTGTGAATTTTCTTGAGTTTCTCGATTGTGTGACTCCTACTTTGGTTTGGGTTTAGTTCTCGGTTTTTCTGCTTCGGCAATCGGAAAGTGCACACGAAATTTCCGAGAGAAGGTCTTTTTGTTCAAGAACAGCAAATTAGTTTCTGCTGAATATTATTTGATGGCTTTTAAGGGCAGACAGCAGGAAATTCTAATATTAGAAGAACTCAAATGCAAATTTAATGGCAATGAATGTTTGTTACAGAAGTTTGTTAACTTTGAATTTAATTCTGATGGCTTTTAAAAGGTTTGTACTAGGTTCATGAAATATGAATGAAGAAATCTTATATACTTAATGTGTCGCAGAAAATACATAGTTAATAAAAATAGGTATCGAGAAGCTGTGAATAATAAACTAATTTCAATATTTCACGTTATAATAAAATAGACGTTTTTATTTGGTAAATCTGGTTCAAACCCTTTTAAATATGCATAATTTAAAAGCTTTGTTTCAAACCTCACAACTTATAACCTCAAAAAAAGGGAGCCACCATATTTTTAGTAATTAAAAATTAATAATTGTTGTACTTTTGGGCCTGTCTTGGGTTTCTTGTGTATATATATATTTTTTTTTGGTAATTATAAATTAATAATTGTTTTAACCCCATCCTGCCCACTTCTGTGCCTTCTTGGGTTTCTTGTGGATGTATTTTTTGTGAAAATCTGTAATTATACGGGACTTGGGGTCTGAAAAGCTGCCACATGGCGGAAGCTGCCCTTGTTTCTCACTTTTTCTCCCTATTCTTGCTCAGCTTTTTGGGCAACCTTTGACCTCCAACCCCAACCCTTAACCCCACTCACTGACCGCTGGCAGCTGCTAAAAGCGCCAGCCAGTATTAAAAACTCGTTTCGGCTAAATATTTAAACAGTTTATTATGCTGGATCCCCGATGCGGTAACATGCCACACATGTGGGCGTGGCAGAGCCACCCACACACCTACACCAGCCCGCCATTTTGTTGCCCTTTGCCCTCAGCCCTCTGCCATTTGCCCCACACCGTCTATGTAAAATGGCGCGTGCATTGCGCCAAAAGGAAATTCAAATTTGAATTAATTATGATGCCACGCCTGCAGGATGCAGGTCCCATGTCCTCGTTCCCGTGTCCTGGCAGATATAGCAATTTGTTGCTGTTCTTGCTGGTGCCATCGCGGTTCTGCGGGTCCCGGTAAATGGGTGGAGCATTTGTTGCATTTACCAAATAACAAATAATAGCACTTAACGCCCCTCGGGACGAGCGTGTGTGCGGGGGAGGTGTTTGCGCGAACTGTTATTTAATTTTTTGTTTAACAAAATGCAAACAACATAAGCAGCTTGCCGGTGGGCTGATGGGTGTTAACCCTTCCATCCGCGCATTGAAAACTTTCGGAAAATTTGGCCGACAAACAAGAGCTTAACTATTCGTGTGTATATGAGGACTTTAAATGAAATATCAAATAACACAATGATTATGACGAGGAAAAATATAAATAAATGACTTACCATTTTCAGAAATTATTTTTATATTTTGTTTAAAAGTTTCAAACGTAACTTATATAGTAAGTTTCTCTTTATAAATTTGTATAATTTTAAAGCAGTTTCTCTTTATAAATTTGTATACTTTTAATAATAATTTTAATGCTTCTATATCAATGTCAAGAAATCTGTTGTGTAAATATTTAATTTAATTTTTCCTATTATTGACTGCAAGGTTATGTACGCTGTGGGTTATTAAAGCTAGTTTCTTTTTGTTAATTGTTTTATCTTTATAAATTTGTAAACACATATGTAAGTAATTGCATTTTAGACATGCAATTGTAAATAATTTCTTTTAGACTTAAACCAGAAGTTAATTTATACTTTAGTTTTCAACCCAACTAAAGCATGAAATAAAATACCCGCTTTTGTGGAGACACCACCCACAATTTCATTAGCATTAATGAGATCAAAGCTTCAAAGAGAGCGGAACAGGTGAAATCAACCATTTAATTCCTTAGCAAGCGAGTAGAACCACAAAAACAGCGAGCCACAAGAGCAACAATCGATGATGGCCAAAAAAAAGGAATATCAAAATGCGGCGCAAAAAAGGAGGCTTTATTTCAGCACCTGATGAAATACCAAAAAATAAAAATACGCGTTCCCGACTTCTAAGTACCCTATATTAGCAATAAAGTTAACCAACTTGTTGAGTACTTAAATAAATCATACACGCTTTTGAGAATAAACAAATACGGTAACAATCTTAAAAACTCGGTTATCAAAATGTGGTTTTTAGGACTTAAAACATTTGTATAGAGTGGTTTTCAGTATACCCCTTTCTATTAGGCATAAGGGGTATAATAAACTGTGGGAAAAGCGGGAAAAAGCGAGTTTCTGCATTTGCGTTTAATTACGAAATAATCCAAAGCGAGTGTGGCAAAGGAAAATCGATGGGGTACGGCTTTGGGTGGCAAAAGCAAAAGCAGGAAGAGTGCAAGTGTTGGGAGGATGGACGGCCCATGTCAGCGCCAATGATCCAGCAGTGGACAGGCCGTTGACGTTGGTAACCCAATTAAACTGTCGCCCGACTGAGCAGACAGCATCCTTGCCCGCTCTGAATCACCCCCAATTCTCAACTGCATTTCGGCCCTTTGGCCGACCGAATGAGTAGCAACTGTTTGGTTTGGCCTGCTGTGAACTGGCACTTTGCCCAAATAAACCGCAGAAGCAAAAGCCACGCAAATGCTCCGCTTCATGGCCTTCACCCTCGCCTGATTTTGCCCCAATTCGCTTGGCGGGGCTTCAATAGCAATTTGGTTAAACTCCTTTTTAATTTCGACCGCACTTTCGTCTCACCGCAGTTGACTCAGAGGTGGCAGCGTGAGTTATCGTTGCTGCAGAAAAGTGCTTTAACATCGAAATAGTGATCTGATATCTTAGACATTATTAAGTAATTCGGTCGAAGCTGCATACCTCAGGGCCTTTAAGTTATTTAATGTTTTAACTAAATTTAAGCTCTCTTTTGACAACTAAACTTGATTCTTAATTGCTTTCGACCAAAAATCAAAAAAAAAAAAAAACTAAAAACTTTACTACCTTGTTTTGTATACCAAAATGTGCAATTTTTCGTTAATTACTGGGACAATGAGTATTCTGATTATTTTGTTTGAGTACTTGAGGGATTTTTAATTCAATAATAAGTCTAATAAAAGCTATTGTTCTCATTAAATTTAAAAAACAATTCAAAATTGTATGGCACTTTGTGTCCAGATTGAAAATACATTAAAAGGGTTTGCAGGATTTTGTTTACCGTAAAAATAAATAACGTAGACAGAGAAAATTAATCAAGTACATTGCACTCAATCTGAGAGTTAGACGTACTCATAAAAAATCCAAGATCAAGAATTCGCAGTTTGAGTAAACATTTTTTAAGAACAAATAAAAACTAAAATTAATTATTTATTTTTTGAGCACATAACTAACTTTTTCAAATCATGGTAATTTAAATTCTCAATTTCTGAACGTAGGAATTTTCCCTGAGTACTTTTTTTAAGTTTTAAAAAAATTAAATTTCGGGTCATTTAAATAATAAATAAATTAAACATGTTTGCAGTTCGCTTTCGACTGAAACAATAAAAAAAATAGTGCAAAAATTTATTGATGGTTTTTTATATTCATACTGTATGTACATTTTCGATGGTTTTTTTTCTTCCGT